GGGCAGGCAGTGCAGGATCCAGGAGAACACAGGAGCCCCTGGAGCCCAGGCTGAGGGTGCCGGGCTCTCTTACTGGGGACCTTGAGGCTCACTGCTCTGGGTGGGTAGCCTTAGAGTAGGAGCTTAAAGTAGGAGCTTAAAACTGTTGTTGAGCACTGGTCCTAGCATACAGCAGGGCAGGGTTGGGGGTGGGGTGTTGGGATGCTGGCTCCTGGTAAGAAAGATAGCCCTGCAGGAGCTGGGGGCGGTGGGTTTGTGCTCTCTTCCGGGACTATCGCCCCTGGATAGCACACACTCACCCGTCCAGATGGAACTCTTCAGCACCTCTGTTCTTTTTTTTAGATACAGGGTTTCTCTGTAGCTTTGGTGCCTGTCCTGGAACTAGATAGACCATGCTGGCCTCGAACTCAGAGATCCGCCTGCCTCTGCCTCCCAAGTGCTGGGATTAAAGGTGTGCACCACTACTACCCGGCTTTATCTGTTCTTATTGTATATAGCTTTGCATTGGTTTTGGAACCCTTTTATTTAGCCAAAGGAGGGGGTGATAAGTAACCTTCTTCAGCAAATGGTCTTTGCAAGGCTCAACCATGTTTGGCATGGCCTTGGGAACCTAAAAGATATAGTTCCCCCACCTCTTTTTCTTGCTATTCCTACTCACTGGATGTTAAATTCAGTTCTTGTTCACCATTTTGATCTGTGAGATCCCCTTTAATTAAAGAACCCCTTATTATGCCGTACTTGGAGCTAGTGTGGCATTATTCATATTGTGAATCTCCCTTCATCTGACAGGTTTTGCTTCAAAGTGACATTAGTCAGATTTTTCAAAGTAAATTTATTGAGATATTGTGAGCATACAATAATCTCTGCAAGCAAGTAGGTCTTGAAAAGTTTCCCATGAAACCACTACACTGTAAGATAATGAAGTATTTATTGCTTCTCTGAAGTTTATATCAATATCCCCCCATATGATTATATTTACCATTTTGAGGAATACATACTCACAATATTTATGCTTTCTGGGTGAGTTTCCCTAAAGATGAGAGTCCCTAAAGTTATGCTTTTACTGTACAGGGACTTCTCAGTTGCACAACCTGGCTAGAAAATCCAAGTAGTAAATTTATTCCCCTTTTTTGACCTCTGATCTCTTCTCAAAATGCAGCTATCATCCCATCTATTACCCTGGACATGTTCTACTGATTCACCCACACTCAAATTGCACAGTGCCCTGCTTTCTCCCTGAGAGATGACACATGTATGCCTAAGAGAACCCCTGTATTCACCTTGAAAATCCTTACTATTCCCTGGGCATCTCCACAAACACCATCAACCACCTCAGGTCTGTAGCTCCTCTCATACACCCCATATGTCAGCATCTTAGCTGGTGCCATGCTGGATTTATTATCGAGGTACTTCAGTGTGGTTTGAAACAAAATGTGGGTAAACCTTCAACACCATTTCTATTTCTAAAGTTTGCCTTGACTGCCCATTTCTTTCATATTTACTAATATCTTCCTTAAGCATTTTCTTTGGGGATTTATTTTTAAAATAATTCATCTATTCAATGGGTACTAGTCTTTCTTCACTTTGAGGAATTGCATACCTAAAATATATGCTATTAAATATGATCATATTTGCACCGTATTTCCCTTTCAGCTACCCCAATCATCCCCAAAATAAGCGTTTCACAATTTATTGACCTCTATAAGCCGAGTTGATGCTGCCCATGTGTGCATGCGTGTGTAGCCAGGCACTGTAGTATAAGAAACCTACTAATGATCACATTCTAAAAAAAGAAAGTGTCTCAGTTTTCAGGAAAGATTTATATCCAACAGATCATCAGTGAGAGGGAAGGCCTGGAAATAATCTTCACAATGGTTTTGACTGGCTTGGTCTCAGTTATGCTTACAGAGAGAACAACTGCCATTATAAGTTCATGATGTGAGAGCCATGTCAAATCCAGAATTCAGCAATTAACAGCGCTTTTCTTTATGCTCAGCCTCTTACGTTCTTCCCACTCCCTCTCCTCAGTGTTCTCTGAGACTTGGAAGATTGTAAGTGGAACTGGAAATTGTTATGTCAGAAAATGTAACAAATATTGAGCAAGTCAAAGACTACCCATTTCTTTCGTATTGAGAACCTAGATTTGTTGTGTTAGGTGTTCTAGCATCTGCTTTATAGAACATGTAAGTAGAAGGGGAACCCTAGGAAAGGAAGACATCTTAAGTGAGAGACAAGGAGAATGAAGCACAGGGTAATGTTGGTGCTGTTAAAGAAAAAACTGACAGGGATGATGGAAAGTTGATGAATAGGAGGGAAAACAGACAAATGGTTAAATAACAAAAAGTTCATCCTAAAACTTAATCAAATTTCTGGTTTTGATAATTATATTATTTGGTAAGTGAAAATTATTCTAACACAAAATAAAAACAGTCATGAGTTGCTTGGAGTAATGATGACAAAAGATGACAGTAGAGTATAGAGTTTAAAGGAATCAGAGAGAGAACTTCAAATGGAAAAAAGGTACATTTGATGCTAATGGATATAGTCTCCTTAGCAAGTGCAAAGCAGTGGAGAGAAAGAGTGACAAGGGATATCTCACTTACAATTCTCCTATAGCATGAGAACAGTATGGTCTTAAAAATAAGTAAAATTCAGAAAATACCAAAGTGTTCTTGCAACAGAGTGAGTTATGCTAATGGCATCTAAATGTTGTAACCTTGTCAAAGAGCCACATCAGGGAGGATCCATTTCCAGGCCAGAAAGTAAGAAAATCTGTGCTCCTATGCAGAAACACACCTGTGTTTGGCACATTTAATTTTATATGTGTACTAAGGAGACATGATAGTGTATATCCACATGTTCTGTGCACATGCACATAAAGGAAGAAACTGGAGTGTTATGAATATTTCACAAGTAAAATGTGAATCCAAAACTACAATTTTATGTCAATTTCTATAACTGTCATCGTTGATTTTGATGCCTTATATCTGTTATGAGCACTGCCTTCTCTCAAGGCTCTAACACCAGAACAACTAGAGCTGGAAGACATGCAAATGAGGGTTCTCTGTGCCAATGAAAACCAGCACTGCCCTGACCCTTCAGCTCAGACAGAGGAGCCCAGACCTGAGTTCCCTGGTTCTTCTACTCACAGATCACCACTGGTCAGAGACCATCACCATGAACTTGGGGCTCAGTTGGCTTTTTCTTGTCATTGTTTTAAAAGGTAATTTATGAAGACCATATGCTGTATGCATTTGTGTACATGAGGAAGAAGAAAATTGGATTCTGTGACAGTTTTCTAATCAGGAATCTCTGTTTGCAGGTGTCCAAAGTGAGGTTCTGCTTGTGGAGTCAGGAGGAGGTTTGGTGCAACCTGGAAAGTCCCTGAAACTCTCCTGTGTGGCCTCTGGATTCACCTTCAGTAACCACTGGATGAGTTGGGTCCGCCAGGCTCCAGGGAACTCCCTGGAGTGGGTTGCATCTATTTATAATAGTAATAACATCTACTACAGCGATGCTGTGAAGGGACGATTCACCATCTCCAGAGACAATGCCAAGAACACCCTATACCTGGAAACGGGCAGTTTGAAGTTGGAGGACACAGCCACATATTACTGTGCAAGAGACACAGTAAGTGAAAGCTACTGTGAACTCAGACACAAACCTCCATGCAAAGTGCTCAGGACCAGCAGGTGGCGCAGACAGCACACAGAGCTCTGGGCCACAGAGGAGCCTGATCGGAGAGGCATAAAGGGATGGACCACTCTATGTCTGGGCTGCATCTCCATATCACACTCTAAGATTCTCTCTACAGTAATCCTTGAAGTGTTCACAGTTTCATTCAAATATCTATTTTACACTGTGAGATGCTTTTCTGTTTGTTTATCATACTGATTTTGCCCTCTGCCTCTTTTACTCTCTCTTTTACTCTCTCTTTTACTCTCTCTTTTACTCTCTCTTTTACTCTCCCTCTCTTTCTCCTTCTGGCTCTGCTCTTCCTCCCTTTCTGCCTTATCCCCTCCTCCCTTCCTCCGTCCCTCCCCTCCTGTACATGATGACATATGGTGTAGTCCTCTATTAATCTGCAGTATATATTTGACACAGGTTCTAGAACTGGGCCTGAAATTTGCCATCTGACTTGACTGGTTGCCCAATGAGTCCCAGTGATAATGCTATCTACATATCCCTTAAAAAGGACAACTTCTTGGCTGACAAATCCATTCATTTGCAGTCATGGAGATCAAAGCTCAGAGTTATATTCTATTCAGTTGTTCTTCTGTGGCAAGATATTGAGCCACAGAAGTATTTTCATGGTTTTTCTATCTTGTAAATTCAGAAAACACTCTGCCTAGAAGAAAATCATCAAGCAGCGCAGGAGTGATTATATTTAGTGAAGTGTATCAGATTCTGACAAAGAAAAATAACTTGGAAAGTATTAAGCCTAGACTCAGGGCAGCTCAAACATATCTGTGGGTACAGAGAACCCTGTTCCCTCTGTTTGTCTCTATGACAACTACACTACCCACACAGAAGTGTATATATACAATTAAAAATCAAGTATTTCTTTAAAAATTTATCCAGTTCTGGGAGTTATACCAATAACCACTTTCTTATGTAGTATGTATTAAACCTTGATTCAAATCATAATGTTTCAAAAAATATAGTCAATCTTTTGAGTAATAAATATTGTGTTTGCAGCAAGCATCAGTTCCTCCTGTTAAAGGTTAAAACACCAATTATCTCACTCAAGATATCAGTCTTTTTCTTCTAACAAAAAACTCATTTCCCTTGCTTGTTTGAGAATTGGGTCCTCAGGATAAAACAAAGTTCCAGGAACACAGTGGTGCAAGGTGGTGTCCTCATGAGAAGACAACTTCCTTCCCTCCATCCTCTGATTGCACTCCTTCATCTTGACAAAATCATGTAGGTGGAAGTCATTGCATAGGCCAGCATCTCTAATAACCAGAGACATGGATATTAAAACCTAAAGGATAAGTTGCCTGTAACCAATGGTGCAAGTGCCATTTGCCAGAGGAAAGTATTGAAATGAGTGTGGGGGATATAGAGGAAGGGATCTATGTGCTGTATTGATGTGAACAACATTTTATTGTGACATTGGCAAATACTATGGTGGCCCTTCAGAGATTTACACATGCAAGACCATGTTACCCAGCAATCTCACTTTTGGTGAGTAGACAAAGGAAGAAAAGAGGAAGGAATAGGAGCCGAGGAGGAGGGAGGAGAGAAGAGACATGAGAGTGGTAGAAGACAGAACAGTCAAAGAAGTGAGAGGAGAAAGAGAGAGAATAGTCTGATGAATGGATATAATCACAGAACATTATAAACAAGCATGATGTTGACATATTTAAGTAGGATGAATGACAGAAGCAGAACATTTTCAAGCAACACAAGTTGCTAAAACACATCTATCTCTCTTTACTTGTATGCCTATAATTGTGCAGGTTGATCTCTGCTTTGTTTCTGGGTTTCTGTCTGAGTGCTTGTGTGTTTACTTAGGAGATGCTTATTTTCTCATAATATTACATTACATAGGTTACCACAGCATCCTTGGACAATTGAGCCCAGGTCATGTGTCCTGTGGGACTGGGATTGGGGGTTTGGCTTCAGGTTCTGGGGCCTCTTTCCCTGAACCAGCCCTGCAGACATACCAGTTCCTCTTCCTGCCTAATATTCCCAGTTACTCTCTGAACACCAGAGACTGAACATAGCTCAGAAGGTTCTGAATTTCTCATTTCAGTGTGGGGCAGACACACTGCTCTTATTTCTCTATCTTCACAGTAGATGACGATGCCATCATTTCATGTGGTCCAGATTCTGGATAGGAGGCACCAGTTGCAGATAAAATTTCTTCCTTCCCCTTTTCCCTTCTTCCCCCTCCTCTCCCTAAGATAGCTCTAAACATCTACAAACTGTGAGTTCAATCTTTGAAAAAGGAAAGGTTTGAATAAATTAAAATGCTCATTGCTGATACTGTGTCTGCATATGTGTATGTTTGCGTATGACTGTAGATGCCGCATTTTTATTAGAAGAGTCTTCCTCAACTGCTCTTTAACTTATTTTTTGAGACAGGTTCTCACACTGAAACTGGAGCTCACATGTTTAGATATAAGTCCCAATTTGCCTCCTGCCACAGTCTAACTAGTGATTGGAATATAAGGATAAACCATCATACCCAGGTAACTAGTTAAGTACTGAGAATCAAACTGAGATACTCATATTAGGAATCAGGCACCTTACTCCCTAGCCATCTCCTTAGCACTGGATATTATCATTATACATTGTAGATGTTAAAAAGAATATTGTAATCTATAAAACAAATAAATATATAATGATTTTAAATGAGAAATATTTTGGTAATTATGGATTTTTAAACCATTTATTTCCTAGATAAAAAATAAGGAAAATCCCTTCAATGTCCTAAAAATTCTTCCAGTTGTGCAATGGGCAATATGAGAGAGAGGAAGAACCTGGGAAGGAATGGAAGAGGGTAATAGTAATCTGAACATACTGAGTAAAAGTATTTTCAAAAAAATAAATAATTAATTTTTAAGACTCTTCATGTGAATGTCAGGAATAGTGATGTATTCATTTAATCCAGTTACATGGGGCAATGGCTAGAAAATCTTTTATAGTTCAATATCAGCTTGTTCTATATAGTAAGTCCAGGACAACAAAAATGAGCCAGTCAAGGGAAAGTAAGAAAGAAAGTCAGACCTTCTACCAGTAAATATTTTTTTAATGTACATTTGATGGGAGTCTGCGTGTGTGTGTGTTTGTGTGTTGTGTTGGGATATGTGACTGTATTTATAAGTGTGATTGTATGTTTGATTGTTTGCTATGTCTGTCCTTTCATCAAAAAAAATTTTAAATTATTCTAGACTATATTTTTATTTGATGAAAACCATGCCCAAAGGCATCATGGGAAGAGAAGGGATAATATTATCTTAGCTCTCACAGATCATTACAGAGAAAAATCAAATCATGTAATAAGGCAGGAGACTGAAAGTGGGGACTGAATCAAAAATCACACAAAAACAATGCTTACCAGCTTGCTCTCCATGGTTGTTCAGCATGCTTTCTTATACAACCCAGCAACACCTGTCCAGGAATGGCACTTTCTAATCTGCCTAAGCCTTCCAAAACCAAATTTTTAATCAAGAAAATGCCCTACAGTAGTGCCTGATACTAATCTTTTGGAGGCATTTTTCCACCTCTTATATTCTTCCAGCCTCCCATTCCTTAGTGTTCTCTGAGACTTTGAGGAACATGAATAATTTTGAAGTCTTTGATGTATTGATTTTGTTTATTAGATTTGTGCTCTAAACACCTTACATCTCTTTGCAGCTGAGTGTCCAAGTCATGCGGCATTAAATATCACATCACCCATTCCCAGGTAGGCTTTGTACTACTATTATAAATAAAATATTTTCATTTATTGCTGCATTGGTTGTTTTCCTATTCTGTGAAATATACCTAACAGGAAGCTACTGCAGAAACAAAGAGTCAATTTGAGTGAAGGTGTTAGGGGCACAGTCTATCATGACAGGAAGGCACGGCACACAGGACTTCTCACACTGCACCTAAATTCTGCCCGTAGAGAATAAATCAGAAAGAACTGGTGTATAAGAATTCAAGATCCACACCAAGTGACACAGTTCCTCCTGAGGCACCACCTCTCAGGCATTCCATAGCATCTCTAAAAAACACCATCAGATAGAGAACAAAGTTGAAACACATGGCCCATTGGAAGCAAGTCCACTTTCAAGTAACTACACATACTGTGAGAAATCCAAGGTCCTCCCTCCTCCATCCAGGTCTAAGAAGGTGAGCATCCAAACAGACTAGGCTCCCACAAAGCCAGTACATGCTGTAGGATCAAAACCCAGTGCCATTATCCTTGGCTCCTCAGTTAGCCCTCATTGACCACCACGTTCAGAGAGTCCAGTTGATCACATGTTCCATCAGTCCCAATCCAACTGGCCTCCATGAGCTCCCAATAGATCAGCCCCACAGTCTCAGTGGGTGGGTGCACCCCTTGCGGTTCTGACTTCCTTGCTCATGTTCTCCCTCCTTTTGCTCCTCATTTGGACCTTGGGAGCTCAATCTGGTGCTCCAATGTGAGTCTCTCTCTCTATCTCTATTCATTGTCAGGTGAAGGCTCTATGGTGTTATGCAAGATATTCATCAGTTTGGCTATAGGATAGGGCCGTTTCAGGCTCCCTCTCCTCAGCTGTCCAAGGAACTAGCTGGGGACATCTCCTTGGACACCTAAGAACCCCTCTAGAGTCAAGTCTCTTGCAAACCCTAAAATGGCTCCCTTAATTAAGATATATACTTCCCTGCTCCCATATCCACCCTTCCTCCATCCCAAACATCCCATTCCCCCAAGCTCTCTCTCCCCATCTTCCCCTTCTCACTTTTCTCTCCCCATCTTTCCTTACCCCCACCTCACCCCCACCCTCAAGCTCTCAATTTTTGCTTGGCAACCATGTCTACTTCCATTATCCTGGAGGATAACTATATGTTTTTCTTCGGGTTCACCTTCTTATTTAGCTTCTCTAGGATCACAAATTATAGGCTCAATGTCCTTTATTTATGGCTAGAATCCTGTTTTTAGTGAGTACATTCCATTTTCATTATTTTGGGTCTGGATTACCTCACTCAGGATAGTGTTTTCTATTTCCATCCATTTGCATGCAAAATTCAAGATGTCATTGTTTTTTACCACGGAGTAGTACTCTAATGCATATATATTCCACACTTTTTTTGTCCATTCTTCCATTAAGGGGCATCTAGGTTGTTTCCAGGTTCTGGCTATTTCAAATAATGCTGCTATTAACATAGTTGAACAAATACTTCGGTAATATGATAGGGTATTTCTTGGGTATATTCCCAAGAGTGGTATTGCTGGATCCTGGGGTAGGTTGATCCCGAATTTCCTAAGAAACTGCTGTGCTGATTTCCAAAGTGGTTGCACAAGTTTGCATTCCCACCAACAATGGATGAGTGTTCCCCTTATACCACATTCTCTCCAGCAAATACTATCATTGGTGTTTTTGATTTTAGCCATTCTGTAATATGATATCTCAAAGTTGTATTGATTTTCATTTTCCTGATAGCTAAGGAGCTCGAGCAGGACCTTAAGTGTCTTTTGGCCATTTGAACTTCTTCTGTTTAGAATTCTCTGTTCAGTTCAACGCCCCACTTTTTAATTGGGTTAATTAAATTCTAGTTTCTTGAATTCTTTATATATTTTGGAGATCAGACCTTTTTCTGTTGTGGTGTTGGTGAATTTTTTTTATGTGTTCTTAGATTCGGTTTACCAGTATTTTATTGAGGATTTTTGCATCCATGTTCATGTGTGAGATTTTTCTGTAATTCTCTTTCTTGGTTGAGTCTTTGTGTGGTTTTGGTATCAGGGCAACTGTAGTTTCATAAAAAGAGTTTGGTAATGACTTCTGTTTCAATTATGTAAAACACATTAAGGAATATAGGTATCAGCTCTTTCTTGGATGTTCTGGTAAAATTCTGCATTAAAATCATCTGGTCCTGGGCTTTTTTTGGTTGGGAGATTTTTGGTGAGAGCTTCTATTTCCTCACAACTTATAGGTCTATTTAGATTGTTCACCTGGTCTTGATTCAATTTTTATATGTTATTTATCTAAAAACAAGTCCATTTCTTTTACATTTTCCAACTTTGTGGCATATAGACTTTTGTAGTAAGACCTAATGATTCTCTGAATTTCCTTAGTGTCTGTTGTTATGTCCCCTTTTCATTTGCATGTTCTCTCTCTGCCTTTTGATTAGTTTGGATAGGGGTTGGTCTACCCACTGAGACAGTGTGCCTGATCTAATGGGAGCTCACCAAATCCAGCTGGACCAGGACTGAAAGAGTGTATGATCAAAATGGACACTTTGAATGTGGCTGCCAATGGGGGAAGACTGAGAAGCCATTGATAATAGCACTGGGACCTGTTTCTACTGCATATACTTTTTTTGGGACCATAGTCTATTTGGATGCACACTTTCCTTGGCCTGGATGGAGGGCGGGAGGGCCTTGGACTTCCCATAAAGCAGGGTATCCTGTCCTTTCTTTAGAAGGAAGGGGGAGGTAAGAGGGACAGTAGGGGATTGGGAATGGAATGGGAGGAGGGGAGGAAGTGTAAATTTTTGAATGGAAAGAAAAACCTATGACTCGCCCAAGCATGATGGTTTAGAGTATTAGCCATGGATTCATTCCTGTAAATTAGGTCATTTTCAGCTTTCTTTTTCAAACTGTATGTAATGATGCCTTCAGCCATATCATCTTTTATGTATTTCTGGTAGGAACCTAGAGGCAATGTCAATTACTTGTTTTGTTTGAGGATCCTTCGGCTTTTCTTTATGAGCAACCTTCCATCCCTGACACAGAGAAAGAAATATTGCCCAGGTTGTGAAGTTCATTGAAAGGTAAGGAATATGAACAGTCCTATAATCAAGTTTCTTCTCTATTAGTGACTGTTAGCCAAACTTGAGGAAATTGTATGGGAGACTTGATTTATGACACAAAAGTGACAATTGAAACTTTTACTATATTTCACCTCTCCTGAGCCACATCTTCATCTCCACACATACACATGAAGAAACATTTTATCCCATAATTGAATTTTGTAAATATGGAGGATATGACCATATAGTAGCTTGGTTAAAAGAAAAGAGGGACATCAATGTGAGTGTTGATATAAAACTTTATGACCGGTTCCCAAGACCAGTAATGGGTGATTGGTTTAAACAATCATATCCTGATGCAAGGAGTGAATTCCTTTTTTGTCCTCCAATGCTTTTCCTGCACATTAGTCCCTGGTTATTCTGTTTCCTATATCACCAATCATAACCTGAACATTGATGTTTATGCTGAAACCATGAGAAGCAGAATCAAAACTGGCATTCATTAGAGAGGGTTTTGTTTAGAGTTGACCCCAAGTCAAACTGTCAAGTAGTGAAGTATGCCTGTGTGATGGTGTCCCGACCTGTGTGAAACAAATTGGGGTCCCTGGTACCTGAAAGAGAAAGGAATGGAGGGGAAAGAGACAGAAGTGGGCAGCAAGTCTGTATTTCTGATCAAGCTGCCAACTTTATTTTTTTCTCAGGGGCATTTATACATCAAAGAAGCAGGGGAAGGTTAGGATGCTGGAATGGCAGGTCTGGAGGCAGCTCTAGCTGACAGAAAGAGATTAAGGAGATACTGAGGGTAGGTGACCTTTAACTAACAAAGGGAAGTTTAATTAATTCTGAAGACTGGGGTCTGCAGGTCTCACAGGGAGATAAGAAGAGAAAAGGTTCTTTCCTAGGCCTGGAACTTGCCCTACTGAACCTTCTGAATAGCTTATTTAACTTGTGAACTTAAGATGGCTATAACCAAAATACAGATCTTTGCTTCTGGCACGATGGTAAGAGTATCACTCTGCAAGTATGCAGGGCTGTGTAGGTGATCTCGTACCCCTCCCTTTGAGTCCTTGCAGTTGGCCCATAACAAACCTCCTCCCATCACATTGTCACACAAATGTCTTGAGTAGTGTAAGCTACATCAGTGTATAAAGAATGAATTGATTACATTAGAGAAATTGTACTGGATGCTGAAGGTCCTGTTAGTTTCATCAACATCACATAGGGAAGATGGAGCAGCATGGGATTGGTCCTCCCATAACAAAAAGCACTAAGGGAAATGAGAATATATCATAGGATTTTTAACATGGAAGAAAATCAGGAATTCTATGAATTTCAGTCAAATTAGGAATATCAAAAGTACAAGAGAATCCTCAGCACTGTTCCAGTGCATATGCAGACTAACAGGAAAATGGTGGGTCAATAAAAAGGAAGATAATTACAGTCATAGATGTCTTTAAGTTACACTAAAGACCACATGCTCTTTCCTAGACTCACGCATCAATAATATTGCAACAGTTATTTCATCTTGAAAGAACTTGTGGAGTCAATTTTCACCCACTGACTTGTAAAAACATGCTGACTTCCTGCATGAAAATTTATCTTCCAGTTCTGATATATTCTTTCCTGGGTTGTGGGATCTCATAGATCTCTCACAGAAATTACTGACCTAAGTACAACAGGAGTGTTGTCTATTGATGAGACTGTTGGGTCTTCTCCTGGGACTGTAATACCAGTATACAAAGAAGTAAGGAGATATGTATTTTTAAGTAGAGACATTTTACCCTGAAGAGGATATTGGCATCATAAGTCAGATTTATCTTTGCTTGGTGATTCTTTCTGGATAGCTATCACTTCTTCTTTAGTCATCTAGATGTCTAAGACCTCTTGATTTTACAAAGATGGTCATTTTCCTGCAAAGACAAGAATAGAACCCTGCCCCAACTCTTATGAGCTTTTCTTACAACCTGTAGTATTTTGATCTCTGTGGATGTACTGTCATTTACGTTTATCAAGAGGTTTCTCCTTCCCAAACATAGCACATCCACTGGTTTTCATTCTGAGGTCAATACATCGTTGGAATATTCTGACTTATTTAACTCAGGAGTTTTCTCTGTTATTCAATGTCTGTATGCAGCTGCTGTTCTATTCTCATTAGCATTAAAAATTCAAGGTAAATAGAGCATTATGTAATCTATTTTGGCAGTCTTTCTCATTACTTTCTGTTAGTTTGACATATTCTTTATAGTTCAATTTGATCATTCTATCACTGCCTGACTTGTAGGATTGTGT